TTGCCTCGGGTAAAAAATGTTGACCTTTCCTTTAAAGTGCCAGCAGAATACAGCAACACCATCTACAGCGCCAGAAACTCTGCCATGTCCAGCCTGAAGGACTTGTGGGACCGTCCAGAGATCGACGTGGTCTGGGGAAATCTAGACAAAGTCTACCAGCAGGTGAGAACCTTGGTGAATGTGAGAGCAGGTGAAGAACGTAGGGGAAAAAACAGCTATTTTATTTTTTGTTACGGTACATTGTTGTTTGAATGAACCGCATTGAATTTGAGGGGATATTTACTTTACTTTTTTTTTGGGGGGGGATGTTTTGGTTTTGTGCTTTTTAATCAAGTGCATGTAAGTTAATGTAAGATTATCCCCGCCTTAGCTGCTCTCGAATGAAAACAATTAGGAGGAGACAAAATATGCAGTTCATGGTTCATTCGAAAGATAAATGCTTTGAATATCTTGCTCTCGCGTGAAAAATAAGAGGCAAATGTGACAGAGTAGACCAAGAGCAACTAACGAACGAGAATCTGAACAGTTGGGTGACGGGGGAGGAGTGCATGTGTTTAGAGAACATCGGAGCAGAGAAATGGTTTGCTAATCATGATCACCGATCTCGGGTTCTTCCTTTTCATCTCCACCAGACCTAGTTCCTGTTCTCAAAAGATGAAATATGAACTGACTGCTAGAAACTTGCGGTAAAAGTAGAGACATTACCCCTCCCCCCTCTTTTAATAAACATTTTGAGCATACTTGACGTACTGCACAGATTTGAAGTCAATATGACTGTTCCCGTGGTTTTATGCACTCCGCATAATTTAGCAAAATTTGATTTTTTGCATAATTTCTAATTGTTTTCCTTTATCATTCTTTGTGGAAATTAACAGAATCGTATAATTTCACATATTTTGGCTCAGTTTGCATATTTCTGAATTTTTCTTGCTTAAAACGACGGGGGATATATATGAGGGTCATAGAGGGCCTGCAGAAACTGACTGCAGGAATAGGAAACAGTGGGCTAAAATCACCATTATGCATAAAGGCTAGAGTGGAAAGGCGGTTGTATGTACCAACTTGTCTACATACTATTCCGCTTCTGCCGTTTTCAGATCGACGGCAAGTACCGAGCAGTCTCGAGTTCAGTGGACGAAGAACTGACACCCCTGATTGACGCATTAGAGAGGGGATTAAAACAGATGGCCAACACGATGAGCTCCATGTCACGTGATCTAGGAGCCGCCTACCAGAGCAATGATTTCTACGCGCAGGACATACAGTATGTATAATATCTTACTGATTAAAAAGAATTAACCTATTTTATGAAGTAGTGCTTCAGTTCTCAAACATCATTAGCATAATGGAATGAGCCAGTTATCGGTTAAAGAAGAGTTTTCTAAATTTTGAATAAAAGAGAACGAACCATTTTAAGACGCAATGCTTCAGGTCTCAAGCATCGTTACGGAATAAGTTAGTGACAATTTGAAAGAGAAGTTGTCTCATCCTGTGGAGTATACAATGCAAGCTGCCATGTTATAGGCACTAAAACACTAGACTATAACATACTCACAAGATGTTCCAACAGACTCTTTCTTCATTGCCCCC